CTGAATGCATAACGCCAACCACAACCCTACCCTTAACTTAAACCTAATTGTAACCTGAATCCTTAAACCAGGTTTTAACCCTCAGACAGGCATTTGAAGATGTGCCAGAAAGCAAGGAATGTCCCGAATGACCTCTCTCCAATGGTCTAAAACTCAAACTGGTCCTCACAATGTATAGCCATACAAGAACACACACACACACAGGAATGGAGAAAGACGGAGTAGAAAGAATAACAGAAAAGAAAGGGTAGAAGAAAAACATAAGTGTAGATGATTTTCTCAAAGAAACTAGGCTTAAGCCTGTGGTAAATAGAAATTTCACTGAATGCATAAATGCATTTTGAAGGTGCACTCATTAACATTCATGTTGGCCTGTGAGTGTGTGTGTAATGACAGGTGTGCGTGGCTCTGTGTGCTATTTGATGTTGTAAGAGCACACAACACAACATGCATAATGCATCCAAAGAGATGAACAGCAATGCCACAGTAACTGCTGTCTGCTCGTCATTTGTGGATGAAAAGATGAAGTTTGTGAAAGTAGCAGACAGAGAGGAGGACAGGAAAGGAAATGATAGAGCAATGGAGGAATACAAATAAAGCAGAGTTCAAAATGAATGCACATCAAAGAAACTTTTAAAAAATGGCCTCAGTAAACCAAAAATGCCAAAAAAAAGTAATGAAAACAAAATTGGATGCACTTTAGTTATCTGCCTGTGGTGCAAGACTTCAGATCACTGTCTCATTAAAAGAAGCAATATCACAGTGTAGAAATACTCAATTACAAGAAAGCATAAATGTATCCTCAGCAAAATGTGCATATAGTTATAGTCCTTAATATGGCAGCCATGTTTGTTTGGTCGACACCAGAGATTACTGGTGATAATAGCAACTAAATTTAATTTCGCTGTGTTGTGAGTTGGTTTTAGTGTAGTGGCCACAGTTGGAATCGGAGGTCATGTGACTCTGGCCACTGGCCCAGAAGGACTTTCCTCCATGTACAATGATTAACAGAGAGAGCTGTAAAATGATGACTATGTGGCTGGGAAAAAATAAAGAAACTTATCTTTTCTTTTGGTATTTTTGTGAGTTTAATTGTTGTGGTTTGTCCTGATGGAGAACTTTTCATTTGGAGTTTTTATTTATGACATTAATATGAATTGAGTTCACACTGTACTGATTTCAGGAGCATATGCCTGTCTGACAAAAGCTTTCACCTTCTCTGACTTGAGGATTTTTTTATCAATACAATCATCACAGGAAGTTAACAAAAACACTGGGCAGCTGTGGCTCAGGAGACAGAGCGGGTTGACCATTAATTGAAGGGTCAGTGGTTTGATTCCTGGCTTCTCCAGTCCGCATGGTGACGTATCCTTGGGCAAGATACTAACCACTGACCCCTTTTCTGTATAGCTAGTGTGAGTGATTAATGCCAATATGCAGAAAATTTGTACAGTACCTCATGTCACAGCATTCATTTATGTTAAAGGAGGAAGGGACCACATACATACATAAATTATCTGAAAAAGAAGGAGGGACGGAGTAAAATATTTTTATTGTTTTATTTAATTTTGTGGTAGAATAGAAGAAAACAAAAACAACAATCTGCATAAAAAATAAACAAAATATGAACTGAGAGAAGGTAAACATCAGAAATGATATTGACATATTATTAGACATCTCATTAAATCAGACAAAAAACACATTATATCTCGTCTTCTAAACCAGATTAAGTCCTCAAGGGACTTTTGTGTTTAGTCTTCTCTTGTCTCTTGTCTTAGTCTCCTTCTCTGACCCTCTGTCCATGTTGCACACAGGCCAGTCATGGAGAGGTATTTAACAGGGTGTTGAACCAGTGGGGTGCTCAGGTGTTGCTTTAACCTTGCCAATAGCATTTGTCCAGTCTCTCCCACATAGAGGAGGTTACGGGACTGACAGGCTATGCAGTACAATAGATTCTGACTCTGGAGGGTGACATTGTCCATAATTAGGGCAACGGCTCCCCCATGTGGGTTAAACAGGAACTTCCTCTGCTTGGAGGCCCAGTGATTCCCCCTCTGCGTTCCAACCTGTTTCCAGTGGATGTTGTTCTGCAGGGCAGTGGCCTCAGGAGGGGAACTGACTGGAAATGAAATCATCAGTGATTATTAGGTTGTTCTGTTGTTCCTGTGGAAGGAGAGGTGAGTAATTAATTACTGGAAAATAGATATCTGCGTTAGGGAAGACAGACCAAGCCTTTCTGTAAAGCATTCCAAGATGTTTGATGGAGGTTTTTTCTGGGTTCTGGTCCCTGTTGTTAATTCCTACCGACAGCACCACCAGCTTAACAACAGGGTGTAGGGGGGATCCTATCTAGTACCTGTTAGGTATGCTGTTCAGGTTGGAGTCACCCAGAAACCAGATTGTTTTTTTTGCCTTTAAAACTCCAGTCAATTATTTTTCTGCCCTTTGTGGATTTGTGATAATTGGGAAAACACGCAGGCCCAACCAGTTGTTGTTCATTGCCCCGTGTTTCCCTGTTGGGTGCATGTGCGTGGGCCGGAACGGGCGGAGCCCTTGGGTACACTAAATTAGGTTTTTGAGGGGTCAAAAGAGGTAGCTGCCATATTCAGGTCAGCAGTGTTCTAAGTTGTGAGACCTCTGTATCAACATGTTATTTCCCACCACTGCTTTGTGTATGTGAGCCCTGCACTGTGTGGATTATGCGCCCAGATACCGCCCCAGTCCTGCCTCACACCCTGAGGAAGCAGTAGGGAGAAGATTATCATCAATTTCTGAAGTTAAGGTTTGTATTTCTGGGCTGGCCTGCACCACTGCCACATTAGATTGGTTAGTTTTGAGTAAATTGAAGGATTTACTATTGATTTTTGCTTGTCTGGATTGTGTGTCCTGATATGTCCCTCACTCGGCCAGCGTAGAAGACTCTGTCTCCTCTATACCAATCTGGGGTGCTAGATTAAGGGTGCTCCCGAAGGGGTTACTGAGAGTTTTCGGGAGCCAATTGTCTGGTTGCTTCATCTGGGGCCTGTTGGAGGAGGTAGTCTCCCTCTATTTCCTGTTTTAATCCTCCTATCTTGAGTATTGAGGCCTACCTCTGGCCCCGTTTGCAGGCCCAGCCAGTTGTAGTCCCTGGTCACCAGCAGGTCCCAGTGCTGTTGCAGCTGCTGTTGGAGTGTCCCGCTGTTCTCTGGACTTGGATTGGCGAAGCTTGGGTTAGGGTTAGGTGAAGGAAACATCTAGATTTTATATCCATCTTGTGGTGCCAGTGCACTGGCCAAGGGACCTGCAGAATGTTGCCGCCCTCGTCAATGTAAGGAACCAGGCCCTTTAAACATATGTCCCCCAAAACAGAGCAGACCTTCTAACCCACAAAGATGTTCTATTGTAGACAGTACATCTCTTAGTAGGTGGTGACCAATGACAGTAGTAGGGAAGAAAGGCGCCGTCCATGCGTCAGGCTCCTCGTGTATTTTGAGAAACAGGTAGAATAGTCTGTAGAATAGATGTGGGTCACTGGGGCCGTACAGATAATCTGCTTTTACGTACTTCTAGTGATTGAATGATTTGTCTAACTAATAGTTTCCGGGTTAGGTTTGTTATATTTCATTTTTGCAAATTGTCTGTTGGCTTCCAGCATATATCGTTGTTTGTCCATAATCAATATTTTTGAGCCTTTATCTGCAGGTTTGATTATAAAGTTAAGGTTGTTTTGTAGCTCTTCAATAGCTTTCCTCTCCACTGTCAAGAGATTATCTGTACGGTTCCCCCATCCTGTTGAAAATTTAGGTGGTCTTGTTGGATTAATCTCTTAATTGGTCCACTCAAATCCTCCCAGTTTGGTTCCCAATTGGATTGATTGAAACTAGCACACTGGGACCCCTCCGACACAGAATCCTTTGATTTATAAATTTAGTTGTGTGCACCAGTGGGACAACAGACACCTTGCTGGGGCCCAATGATGTATTTTAATACAACACTGTTCTCATTTACAGGTCTTACGTTTCTGTTGTTGAACAAGTTTGAAATAGTGACCAATCCAACTCTTATGTTGTACGAGCAGCAGCCTGGCTGGTCACACCAGAAGTGCTGGTCAACAATTAATCCCACATTGTGCTGATCTTTATAATAACCTCATGAATTTACAACACAGAGCGTTTTAATGTGTTCCTGGATATTCTTATGCAGCAGTGATGTTGAAAGGACCATCATCAGCTATTTAGCAAGCAATGGTAGAAGGGACATTCAAGTTTATCGAGCTGGCCCCACTGAGGTGGCCCTGATTACTAGAGTTACATCCAGGTAATTTTCGTTTCACTGTGACAAAGTGAACTTGAAGAGACTTTCTGCAACAATCAAACCATCAGGGGCTAATGCATGTGCTTAAAAATCCAAGCTCAGTTTAATGACTTGTTTTTTTAATATATATATTTATATATTATTCCTACAAATACATGGTTTTCAGCACTTTGAAAAACATTCACTTTCCTCAGTAAACCAAGAAAGCTAGAAATATCCTACAGTGAAAAAAAAGAGAAAGGCATTTTTGACAAAAAAAAAACAAAAAACAAAAAACAAAAGAAAATCACAAAAAGACATGAAAATAACAATCGAATGAAATCCGAAAAACAACATCCTGTACAAACACTATGGCCCAATAATTTAAGAAAATAGTGTCTCTAAAACGTTCATATTGCTTTGTACCTCCACTGACTGGGCAACATCTACCCTGTGCAACACCAGGCAGTTCAGATGCGACCACAGAGGGCGCGAAATCCCAGGTGCTGATGTCACTCCAGAGGTTATGGGGTCAAGCTGCAGCCAGCGGCATGCAGGCATCGCAGAGGAGAAACAGTCAGGTTTGTGTTCTCTTCATCTCTGGTTGTTTTGGCAGTAACAATACAAAGACAAGGGATGGTCACACTACTACAGTACTGCACTCCTTATGAAACCAAGGATGTTTTTACTGTTTGTTGTAGTTTTACCATTATTACTCTCTACAGCATTATTACTAGAACTATCACCATCACAGACACACAGAGTGCATCGTGTGTTTGTGTGTGTGGAGGGTTCGTCAAGCTGTGTGCGTGTGTGTATCTGTGTGTGTTGGAGTGTCAGTGTTCAGTGCTCAGAACTTGTCTTCTCAAAGGAGAAACTGGGAAGAGTCAATAGCTTGGGGTTGGTGTTGAGGTTTGACGAGCCTCCATTCTGTCCTGAACCCTCTCCAACTCCCAGGTCAAAGGAGTCCTTGGAGTCACTGGAGGGCGCTCTCCTCCTCAGGCAGGTGTCCTGGCTGGGCAGAGGAGGGGGCATCCCTAAACCCCCAAGCCCGCCCAGGCCCGGGTAGAGGCCGGACTGAGGCTCCAGTCCATCTGGAGGGTCTACGGAGATGCAGGGCGGGCTCATCTTCTTCTTGCGTCGAGGTGAGGGCAGCGAGGTCTGAGTGGGGGTCTGGCTGTGGATCTGCAGGCTGTCGGCCCGCGACACGAAGCCGGAGGAGGTGGAGGTGGTGCTGCGCTGGGGGCTGGACTCCACCGAGGAACATACTTCTACAGAATGGCGTCGAGGGTCATCCAACCAGGAGGATGGTCGGGGCAGGAGGGCGCCGCGGCCCTGCATGTCGGCGCTGTGGAACTTCTTCAGCTGCCGCAAATATGGACTCCGACTCTCCTGGCAGCCCGCGTAGGAGCTGTAACCCTCATTACAATCACCGCTGTCCTCTGTCATGATGTCATCACTGCCAGCCAACCCCGTGCAGGTAATGAGAGACACTTCCTGATCCACTGAAGCCTCCTCCTGTTGGTGTGACCCTACTGGTAAGAGTGGAGGAAGCGAGGAGGGCGAGGAGGAGGAGGAAGGGGAGTAGGAGGCGAAGCAGTGTTGATCGTGGTGCTGGGTGTGCACGCTGCCAGGGCGCGAGGGTACAGGGGAGGCGCCCGGCGTGGCGGGGACCAGGCAGAGGGCAGGCTGCTGATGATGATGGGAGCAGGGGAGTGTGGGAGATGTGGGGGAGGGGGAGGAGGAGGGAGATGGAGGGAGCCCCAGTGAGGCAACATTCACAAGTCCTTCATTGCTCTCTCCTCCGTCTGAACACAGGGCCTCCTGAGAATCAGTAGACACTGCAACCTGGAAGACGAGGCATGGAGGGGAGGGGAGGGGAGGCAGGAGGGTGAAATATTTAGGAGGGAAGGAGCATGGGTAATAAGAAGCATGAGCAATAAGAGGAAGGGAGGGGGAGGTGGAAAAGAGCGAGCGTACAGGGATGAGAGAAGATGACAGGGGAGACTAGTTAGTGTGAAGTGATGAGGATGAGAAGCAGTAGTTTGGGTCAAAGTTCACAGTCTGGTCAGCAAACTCCCAGAATCCTCTGTTTCTCGTTGTCGGCAGTGTGGATTTACTTTTACATTCTGTCATAAATTATAATGCTGAAACACAGAGGTTACACTGCACTTCATTTAAGATTCGCCAAGAGTAAATTGAGTCAGCAACTTTTTAATTAGTTGGATGTTTATTAATATAAAACCCCCCTCCACTCAGAAATATTATTATTGTTCCTTTGAACTTCAGTGCAGAATAAAGTGTGAGCAGAGTGTGACACTGTTTCTCTGTGTTTAACGTGTGTGCACACGTACCAGCCGGACTTTGTGACATCTCAACTGGAAGCCAGTCGTGGTTCAATGTGCAACTTACACAAAATGTGATGTGGAAACTTAAAGCCTCCAGCGTGCTGAAGCAGAAGCCTGTGTACGTATGGCAGTAAAAGTTTTGGAACGAATAACATATTAACAGAGTCGAGACTTTTCAAAGAGAGAGGAGTAGAAATATTTTAAATAATTTTTTTGACAATAATTAAAAACATATGTGGAGGGGGTTTTTAAAATGACTCACAACTGAAATGAACTTCTTACTACGTACACAAACTCATGATTGCAAAACTGAATTTGACTTTTTTATTTTTTGTGTGAGACAGAATGACCCGATGGAGCGCTGGCCGACACAGTGAACTCTGAGCCAGACTACCTGACCCTCTAATCTTTGACCGTTCACACAGAACCCTATAAACTGTCAGCATTAGAGTTTTCAGTTGAATTTACAACAAAATTCTGATCAGCGTTTCCCTGCCATCATTCTTACCTCTGTATAAAGTCACCTACAGGGTGTTAGGCCAATAGGTAGAGGGTGAAAACAATATGTAAAGACCATAGGAGAGGAAGGGTTAGTAAGCACAATGGTTTGCTAAAACTCATAAAATGTCCTCATGAACTCGTGACTTGTTTCTCACGGACCACAGACTGTGGAAAAGGAAATTAATGATACTTGAATATAATTGCGTTGAATTAGGTCAATTAAAGTAATCTCTCAAAATCTATGGAGGCGAGGAAACAAGGCAGGCATGAGTTTTAGGGCACAGTATTTGGATAAATGTTTTTAAAAGCATGGGGTTCCCTACATGAGCCTGAACGGTGTGACCACAGAGACACCTAGTGGTCAAAGAGATCACAACCAGGCCCCGGCCAATCACCAGCCACAGCAGTAAATGGGCATATCAAGGGTTAGCAATGATGTACTTTCAAGCACTAAACTATTCAATAGAAAATACACAAGTGCTCTATCACCATGGTACCGTGTGTACAATGGCCAAATGCATAAAGACAGCACTTCCCTGAGTTGTATAGTTTGTGATATAGTAAGTGCACTGCATTGTGGGTAAAATTTTTTAGGCAAATAACATCTTTGTCCGGCTTGAATACATTCTATCACTCGGCTACTGAATAGTCCACAGATGGAGACACACTCTACGCTTGTATAAGAATATGGGAGAAGTAATAAACTCAGTGTCTCATTAAAATTTCCCACAGGCAAAGCTGCCTGTCTTTAGATGCTTTGTGGCTGATGGTTAGCAGAAGACAAACGAATGTGAAACAAAGGCAAAGAAAAAAAGGAGGGAAGCCTGTGTGTGTGTGTGTGTGTGTGTGTGTGTGTGTGTGTGTTGTGTTAGTCTGCCTCTCTGTAGATGAACATGGAGTCCAGCCTTTCTGAAAAGGCCCAGTGGTAGCTAGAGTCTGCTCTTTGTCAGTGTTTCAGAAACAGGAGTATCTGTGTCTGAGCAGTAGCTCGGGGTCGGGCGGCTTTTGGACCCAACTGAGCTGAAATCGGAGAATAATAGATATGATATGGAGAATGGAAAAGGCAGACCAGTTAGTCACAGAGAGAAGGGAGAGAGAAAGAAGGAAGAAGAAAAGTGAAATTGTTTAGAACATGCAACGTGGAAAGATTTAAACCAGAGATTCTTAAGAAACTCAAGAAGACACGTGAGGACACAAATGCAACACGACTGCAGTGTTTCCAGGGGACACTAAAAAGTGATGAACCAGGCTGGGACTTGTTCAATGCCTAATTGTGACTTTTGAAGTTAAAAGCATTGAATAACAAAAGCGATTATTTTTCTTTTTGAGTTATTTTTTGCCTTAATTTACGATAGAGAAAGTGAGAGAGATTGTGTCTTTGCATGTGTTTTCTTAAGTTGCGGTACGTTGAGCTGTCAGGGCCACCGTAGTTTTTCACACATAGTTGAGAAACATTTATATAGAACAATGTTGTCACCACATATAGAATGATATGAACAGGATAAGACTCCAGAAGTGATTAAGGAGTGAAGTGAAAATCTGAAAATGTATGACTTCTTCACCTGTCTGCGGAGCGTGCGGCTGAGTGCGTGCGCGTGTCTGGGAGGGGGTAATCGTGGTATACTCTCGGAGTCCGAGTGGCTGTGGGGGCTGATGGGTCTGAAGAGGTCTGTGGGAATAGCCAGCTGCTGGGAGAACTCCTCCGGTTGTGAACGCACTGAGGCACTGGAGCCTGCACACAAACACACAAACACACACAGCTCTGACAGGTAAAACAACAACAACAACAACAACAACAACAACAACAACAACAACAACACACTCACAGCAGCTTCCACTGAGACGGATACAAACCCACAAGCACACACTGGTGGATCCAAATCAAGACTCTCAAAACTTTATCAAGGAATTACAAATGGCAGAGGAACTAATATAAATTATATTGAAGAGAAACGGGAAAAAGACCTAAATGATAAAGATAACCCCCAATTCCACTTGCTCTGCTTATTGCCGTGAATTTTGTTGGAAGAATCTTTTTTTTTTATTACTCATAAGATGAAAACATATCAAGTGTTGCTACGCCATGCTTGTTGGAGAAGCTGTGGCAGTGTGGAGTCTGACCGCTGCCACATGTTTTGGGCCCGTTCAAAAATTCAAATATTTTGGCAAAATGTCTGGAAACTTACACGGCAAATTCTGGGGCTACAGCTTCGACATGCATATTACTTTATTTGGACGACCTCCCGGAGGAAATAAGAAGAAAATGACAAATACCTCTTGAAAATATTAAACGGTAACAAGCCGATCCATCTACAGTGGACGACAGGTGAGAAATTATTAAAGAGATTCATGAGATGGAAATACTTTTCTGCTAGAAATGATTTATACGTTGCAAGATGGTCAAAATGGAGCCTGTATATACTACTAATAAGATCCATGGCTGGTGGTCTGGTTTTGTCCTTTTGTTCTTTCCGTTTATTTTTGGTTAAATTTATTTATCTTTTCATTATCCAAGCCCACTATGTCCCATATGACATTTGTAATATGGATATATGCTAGCAATATTGGTTTTACTGTTGCATTCATGATGCTGTTTTGTACGCTGTACCTTAAAAAACAAAAAGAGAAATGTCACAAATCTGTTCCAGATCAAATCAACTAAAAACTGTGGTGTCTCAGAAACAAGTTTCAAAGGTCTGCGAGTTTTGTTTTTACCATCGCAGGTGCTGGTTTGCATTCAAAATGAAATGCATTACCTGATTGGGCCCTGAGGGTGTCCAGTATGTGCTGGGGCCCCTGTGTCTGTGCTAGCAGCTGTGCTGGAGCCGTAGCCGTGTGACCAAAAGGCTGCACGGGGAGGAACATATAGCTGTCGTTGGGCAGGGAGTGTGTGCGTCCCACCGTCGGCTTCCTGACGCTCAGCAGGTTGTCCCGCAACGGCTCCTCAGGGTTGAGCTGCTCCGGCTGCCGGGAAGAGAGAAAAAGAGTCAGGGTCCCTCTGGAGATGGAAGGGCTGGGGCTACTCTTTAATAATTCAAGCACTCTCACAGTCTTTCTCTCACATTCACAGCTGATATCTCTCTGAGACAATGTGAACGAAGAGGCAGTGATCATCAGCATACATGGAGAACAGACAGGATCTCTGCATGTTGGAGGTGACTGGACCAGAGCTGCCACAGATCACAGTAACTGTTCCAATTTACAAGCACATTCATTTTTTTTTTTTTTTTTTTTTAAGCGTAAGACACTCGTGCGTCTTGCGTCTGCATTTACCCTCGCAGTCGTGTAGGTTTACATAAGCCTGTTCCGTGATTGTGTGTCAGCTAGGCAGTAGTCCCGCAGCCTGACCCATAACAGAACCAGTTCACATTCATCACAGAGCCACGGGAGCTCCGGCACCCAATACAACTCAAAGAGGAGCGAGAACTACTAACACCAGAAGACAGTACAAACACAGAAAAGACTGATAGGACTCACATGTAAAGCACATAGGAAAAAAAACACACAGAAAACGGAAGAAAAGAAGAAGGAAAGGAAAAGTTTAGGAAAGTTAGAGAAAGAAAAAAATAACAGCAGAGACGAAGGAACTGCAAACTGGCACGTGAGGAGGTGCACTACTCTACTGGACTGGACTGGACTGGACTGGAGAGTAACACACACCAAGGCTGGAAAGGTGGAATGAGAAAGAGAAGAGAAAGTTGGAGGGCACATGGTTAGATTCACCAGGGTCTTTCAACACCACCTGTTCTCCTCTACCTCATCAGTCACTTGAATTTTTGGGTTTTTTTGTTTTTTTGTATTCGTCCCAGCACCGTCCAATTAACAATGATTTCATGTCACGTGCTGCCAGCAGTTCTCTGTTTCAGAGAGACTCATGATATATAAATCGATACCTCTGAAGTGCAGCAGGAACCAAGGTTACAGTGACATAAGATCATTAAAAAGCCAAATTGGTGGTTAATTACACCCTGACACCTGAATGACATTAAATTCATTTTCTAGTTAGACTGACACCGTCCTTCCCCTCAATGACAGAGGCGTCTGGGATGGGATCCTATAGAGGAACATATAGATGAAATGTCCTGGTATGAAAAAGTTATACCATAACCACTTAATACGAGTGACTACATGTATTTTACATGAGGCATAAAGTAACTAATGCAACAGTGTTTGAGACTTGTGAAGATTGTTGACCCATTTCTTTGGTTGAGGTGTCCTGATATGATTTTCCAGGAACCTTCCTATGAATTCAGAGTGACTCATCTGTTCCTTTTTAACAAATGAAAGGAACAGATGAGATGTAAAATAATGTGCTGCTGTGTTTTCTGTGGGTGTGGAGTAAAGTATTTCACCATCTTATGACCCACAGTTGCTATGGAGCAATATTCTCACCAGTGTCCCTTTTTTCTTTTCATGCCGCCGCACAGCGTATGTCAGTAACGCCTCGACTGAACTTCTTCAAATTTGGCACAAACATTCACTACGACTCAAGGATGAACTGATTAGATTTTGGTGGCTAAAGGTCCAAGGTCAAAGGTGCTGTTGTAAGAACTGAAAAGACTAAGACTACATTTACACTCAGCTATCGTCAGTAAGGATTTAAAATATAAAAAAATTAGCTTTGCAAATTATTTAAGAGGATGAAAATGCATTAACTATGTTTGTTTGAGGGACACTGAGTGTGTTTTGTTTGTTTGTGGGACAGGCCACTTTTACACCATGTAAATGATTTGAAAGATAGACAGTTTTTTTTTTACACTTTAATAATGTTTTTAATTGTGCTGGGACTACTGGTGCAAAGTAGCTGTTTAGCTAATTTAGTGTCAAGTTGGTTTCCTCCTGCCAACCTGTCACACCCCAGTGTGTGAGTGTAGTAGGACAAGTGGCTTTGGAAGCGCCCTGGGAAAGGAAACACTACAAGATATTGCAGAGGGGGAGGAATAGGGATGGAGAAAGAGAAAGAGAGGAACTGTCAGTACATTGCATTCCAGACTGGTTAGAAAGAGGGGGTTAAAATCGTCGGGGGCCGAGTCGTCTGTCAGAGCTAGGGACCAGGATTTCTCAGAGGCCAGAGACAGAGCTTCCATCTCCGCTAGAGGGATCTAGGCAGGAAGAGACAATGGCTGGTGAGCAGAGAAAACAAATGCACGCTCTGTGCAACACAGAAAAATAAGGACACTACACACAGGTAAGACCTGTAGCTAATGGGAAGATACATATTTGAAAACAACATATACGAAACCGGAATAATGTAGCAGAGCAAAAGCAGCAAAGAGAAAAGACAAAGCAACATTTGTAGGTATGATAATTGTTTTTCCCACTTTAAAACTGTATTTCGGAGACTTACCGACAGCAATATTATGACACAGTACAGACACACACAGAGTCAAATGCACAGGCTGATGAACCGCAAACAAACTATTTAACATGATGCAAATGAGACAATCACACTCTTATAATCACAGGAACAAATGGAAGGGAAGGGGATTCGTCTTTATGATTTATACTGTGTGTAAATGTGCAGTGATTTATAAACTGTGGGGGTTAAATGCAAACAGGGCAATTCTCACCGGCCTGGGACAGTGATTGGCCTGAAGTCACATGACCAAAGGCCCAACCCACCTTTGAAGTAACCCCATAGGCAGATATCTGCGTGTTTATACACGACTGGCTGTTTTGTTTTTTTTCTTTTGTTCCATACATATCTTATTTTAAATGTCACCTGTGATGTGTTACATGATGACTCTGATTAAAAGGCCCCGAAATGTGTCGGTCAAATAAAGTTCTTCTGTTTACTACGAGTGTTGCTGGAAAATTCTCCCTGACAGGCGAGTGGGCCGTCCATGCAGAGAGGGAGAGGTGGCCTTTGGCGCCTATTGATGACATTTCAAACCCATTTAAAGCTTCTAGAGTTGGGTGAGTAGATTTTGCAATACAAATGTAATTGGCTAAAGTTTTCCAAATGAAAAGAAGCGCCCAGATGCATTATTCAGCGACTCGGTGATACATCGCTTATTGATTTACCCATTCATTTGCTTTCGGTGTGTCACCACTTCGCTGTGAGCGATTGGCTAAAATGGGTATTCACATACACAAACGCACAAACACGTCAAACCCACATACGAACACAGACAGAGCGTTGTGAAGGGGAGACAGAGCAAACTGTAAACCATGTCACTGAGGCTGCTGAAGCAGACCAGAAACCTGCCAAGCATGAAGTGAAGACGTGAGCGTGGGGATGACATCATAGCTGAGGCAGGGTATGACACTTGCTCTGGTGCTTAGAAAGGGAAAAATATTCAACGCGGGGGAATGTCAGTAAAAGAAAGAAAGAAAAGGCAATGCTGTAGGGCTGCGGGACATTTAACAAACTATATGCTTTTTCTCTGAATTATGAAATAAAGTTCTCGACGGTATGTATTTACTTGCTGCTTATTTTATAGGCCAGGGATTCTGTACACTGCAAAACTATCCATCTTTTAGAAATTCAGTCTGGTACAGAATTTAATTTTCATTAAGACAAATAATCCTGCCAACAGTCTTGTAACAATCAATTGTTACAAGAGTCAACAAAAGCTCACCTTCATTATTGTGAAGTAATCTGCCTAATTTAAAAGGTGAGTTCACCCAGATTACAAAAGAAGCTCAGAACCTTTAAGAGCATCCATGTGTTACAGCCCATAATATGAAGGTATTGTGCCTTATGCTTAAAGGAAATAAGACGAGCATAAATGACAGCAGCAGCCCTACATGTTGAAGAGAGATGAACCCACTGGACATGTGAAATGGAGGAGGTGAGTCATCAGTGGTGTTTACTGGTGATTATTGACCTTCTTGTCAGTACTGTGCTTGCGGGACTTGGGGGACAGCGCGTAGAAGTGGCAGATAGAGCCGGACAGGTTGTCCATCAGACTCAACTCTCCCTCCATTGAACCCTGGATGACCAGGGAGACCGAGTCAAACAGCGCTCTCCGCTGTACAAACTTGGATAATGTAGAGAGACAAGAAAGACAGAGAGAGAGAGAGAGAGAGAGAGAAACAGAGGGACAGCAGAGGTGGTGAGTCCAGACAGAGACACATGAATAAATGTGAATAGGAAGAATGAATGACAAAGAAAGGAAAGAGGGGAAAAGATAGTCGATCAGGCAGACAAACAGGTAGACAAACAGAAACATATCCAAGCAGAAGGTCTTCATTATACTGAACATCACACGTAAGCTTTAGTCAGTGTCCAAATGTGTGAGTGTTTCATGCAGTGCACATGTATACAACTTCCTCCTCATCAACATCCACTACAGGCTCACGTGTTACCATTCAAACCCACAAGGGGGCACTCCAACACTGCAGTAGAGCTGCGCCCCCACCCCGCCCCACATTGCTGGAGGTTGTGGTTTAACCACACACAGGCTGAGGAAGATGGATAATTTCTTAGAGGGAAAACATAATGACAGCGAGACCTTTACTTCCTATCCTCAGAAAGTTCTCCACCGTCTGGAAATAGCTGTTGAAGTGAGTAACAAGACCCTGTGGTGCAGCTTTCCCATGTCACTATGACCCATCTGTGACTGGCATGTCCTCTACAGGGACACACACACACACACACACACACACACACACACACACACACACACACACACACACACACAAGCCGATTGGTAGACATAGCTTAAAAACCCACACACACGCAAATCTGCATTTCTCAGCTAATAAAGAAATAAGATGACTGACAAAAGAGAGAGTTACTCCACATATCGAGAAGTTTGGGTGAATTCTTTTTCATTACCCTCTCCAAAACCAAAAAAAGGATAAAACAGTATGTTGTCTGCTCTATTGCAAACATTAGCATGTCCCACTAGCTTTTAACTTGGTTTCCTGCTACTGAAAAAAAAAACAAGCTCTGATGACAGCTAGCACATCATTGTGTAAATATTTCCCTCCACTATATGTGGGACCGCAATCCATGCTACTAAGTTGAAGGCTAATGATAGCTGCTCTGTCATGCTCTGACATTAAGTTATTTGTTTGTTTTAATTAACTTCCATATCTGTAATTAGATTTAGACTTTTTTCCAAGGACATGCAGCTTTAAACTGCACATGTGCCGTAAGTGAGAAAATGCATGAAAACGAGTGAGAAAGACGAAGGATGTAAAGACAGGCAAAATCTCACTGAAAAACATGAGGAGCAACTCTGATACTGCAGCTGGACAAAGAGCGAACAAGAAATGTGGAAGAACAGGCTTTGACACAAATGTGAATGCTGTCAATGAAATTCAGCGCGGCGGCCAAGTGACAGGTGGTATCAAGAGCTCTCTGTCGTTTTACACTCAGTTCCATCACTGCGAGAAGTTGTTCCGATTTACTGGCTCCACCTACAATCATTAAAAACAAACCTCAAGCCTACGCTCAACTCTCAAACCTCTGGCAGGGGGCTGATGATGCAATAAGGAAATCTACAGCCTGCAAAAAGCCCATGGACAAACCGAAAGCTCCTGAAACAGAAAGAATATGCAGCGAAAAACAAAAGAGAAATGTTGGGAAGTCATTTCAAGGGACAGCGTCTGTGGGACGTGTCAGGACGTGAGAGATCCGTGGTTTTTTCCGGTTTGATGTTGTTTACTAGAGTTGGTGTGTACTGAGGCAGGGCTTGCATACGGTGGTCAAGCAAAGCTCTCAATCCCCACCAGCCATCTTCAAGAGCTTCAAACACTGTGGAGGACACGCAGAGAAGCGCATCAAAACAATGCCCCTCCCATTCAGATGTTGAATGAATACCTCACATTCAGGCGATCGGTAAACACTAGCTACAACAATCATTATCAGGGGCCACACTGGGGGGGGGGAGACGATGCACCTCTGGTCATCAGATGAGTGGATGTGACAAGCTTATATCACAGGACGCACTCACAAATACGACCCTGATTTTTGGACACATTGCACATAAATGCATCTGTTTATATTTTCAAGCGACGCCAGACTTGTCCAGTCAGTATTTCCTAATATGGTCGCATCCTCTGCAGTTTGCAGTTCTGATACAGTTGATGATACAGTTATTACATTAAGAAAGTGACGAACAGATATTCCTCCCGAGAAATCCATCATCACGCACGTACCATCCATCGCGCTCAGCGTCCCACAGCGGGAGCCAGAGAATTAACTAATGATTCGGACCAGAGTCAGAATTAATGATCAGAGACGCGGGGTCATCTGAACAGCACCACAGCCTGGCCCCCAGCAGGAAGTGATCGCAGAGCATCTGTCATATCACGCAGAGACTCCAACAATATGACCTACACTTCATCTAAATGTGAGTTCCTTTCATTATATACAGTATATAATAGTATGATCTTAGACAAGGGTGTGAATAAGGCATTTAGCTATAAAGTGACCTACATGTGTCTCGAGGGAAATCCCAAAAAACACACCAACACACACACACACACACACCAAAGCAAGCTGCTATTAAATGGCACCTACAACTGAACTGTTTCCATTTATTCTGATTGTTCTGTTTGGATTTTAGTAAAATCCAATATTTATTAATTCATTTATTAGTATTGAGCACAAACATACCCACAATCCTGCCTTCTGAAAAGACGTAAACATGGCTGACGAGGGAACTGTGGTGTGAGAATGCCTTAATGTGCCTTTGAAGTCTCGTAACGTATAAGCAACAGGAAAACGATTCAATACCTCCAGCGGCGAGTCCAGGCATGAAGGGGGGTCTGCTCTGATGTTTACAGACTCTCTGGTTTTATCAGCAGTGGGCGAGTCCATAGGACTGTCTCTTTCCTGTTCCCTGTCCCCTCCTCCGGTGGACTTCCAGGGCGAACCCCCGGAACTCGACCTGTCCATGCCCAGCGCCAGAGGGTTCAGCTGGGGGGACCTCGTGGCCATGTCTCCCCCGTCCATCTGGAGCTCCAAGTCCGCCTCAGCCTCTGCCCCGGCTTTGGCTTCCTTGTTGCTCTCCTCCAGGTGCTTCATCAGGACGGCGATGACAACGTTGACCAGGACAAACTGAGCGGTCAACACAAAGGAGACGAAGTAGATGGGAGAGACCACAGTGTTGTAGCAGGTGCTGGTGTCTTGGACGCAGTCTCTTAATGTGTCCTGGGAGAAGCATGAAATCACTACATGAGCCAGATCAGTCCGTAACGATTCACAAGCAGCCTTCACAATACATACAGCACATCATCACCACCTACTGAATGCATGTGCACATATCAAAGAATGAACATGCAGTAAGTGTATGCATGATGTTTAGGATCCCCAAAGCTGCAGGGTTAGTTTCACCTTCATAATGCCGTTCCAGTTGTCTCCGGTGGAAACTCTGAAGAGCAGCAGAAACGCCATCCCAAAGTTTTTAAATGTAGCGTAGCGCCCCAGACCCTCACATGGGTGGAGCTCATCGCAAACTGTGGAGAAAAACGGAGGAGAAGGGAGGGAATGAAGAGAAAAGAATGGCCAGACAGTAAAAGAGAGACATAAAGATAAAGAGGCAGAGACTTTCATGGCTTTTCAGGTGTCACAACATGGGGCTTTGCACTGAAATGATGATAATTGTAATACTATTTTATTACTCTGAAAGCTACGAGCCACAAGAGAGATCAATATTCAACAGAGGATTTTCTCAAACGCAATTAACATCAGATAGATTAAACCCACAGAGGGGAGAATTAAACACTTGGTGCATGCCTGTGCACGGCCTGAGTGGTATGTGCGTCTTGAATCTTTGTATGAGCTTTCTCTGGTTTTGCCTGACTGCCTTAATGCACAGGGCATGTGTGCTTACTCAAGTCACCAAACAGCTCCACTCCCAGTGCTGCATAGATAAAGAAGAGAAGCATGAAGAGAAGACCCAGATTGCCCACCTGCAGGGAGACAACAGGAAGAGAGGGATTAGTCAGAGGAGAGAAATCCCAGGCAAAATAAACCAACAACAGGGACAACAAACAGCTCATTCCAGAGAGAAAATTAAAGAAAGGCCGAGACACAAAGCAGCAAGGGAGAAACATGCTATGGCAACTGACTTGCTGAACCCGTCCCCTGAGTAGCGATTGTGTAGACATAGCTTAAAAACCACAACTACGCAAACTCTGCATTTCTCAGCTAATAAAGAAAATAAGATGACTGACAAAAGAGAGAGTTACTCCACATATCGAGAGTTTGGGTGATTCTTTTTCTTACCCTCTCCAAAACCAAAAAACGGATAAAACAGTATGTTTGTCTGCTCTATTGCAAACATTAGCATGTCCAACTAGCTTTACTTGGTTCCTGCTACTAAAAAAAAAACAAGCTCTGATGACAGCTAGCACATCCATTGTGTAATATTTCTCCACTATGTGGGACCCAATCCATGCTACTAAGTGAAGGCTAATGATAGCTGCTCTGTCATGCTCTGACATTAAGTTATTTGTTGTTTTATTACTTCCATATCTGGTAAGAATTCAGACTTTTTCCCAAGGACATGCAGCTTTAAACTGCACATGTGCCGTAAGTGAGAAAATGCCATGAACGAGTGACGAAGACGAAGGAGTAAAAGAAGGAAAATCTCACTGAAAACATGAGGAGCAACTCTGATACTGCAGCTGGACAAGAGCGAACAAGAACGATGTGGAAGAACAGCTTTGACACAAATGTGAATGCTGTCAATGACAATCAGCGCGCGGCAAAGTGACAGGTGGTATCAACGAGCTCTCTGTCGTTTTTACACTCAGTTCCATCACTGCAGAAGTTGTTCCGATTTACTGGCTCCACCTACAATCATTCAAAAACAAAACCTCAAGCTACGCTCACTTCTCAACCTCTGCAGGGGGCTGATGATGCAATAAGGAAATCTACAGCCTGCAAAAAGCCCATGGACAAACGCAAAGCTCCTGAAACAGAAGAATATGCACCGAAAAAAAAGAGAAATGCTTCTGGGAAGTCATTTCAGGGACAGCGTCTGTGGGACGTGTCAGGACGTGAGAGATCCGTGGTTTTTCGGTTGATGTTGTTTAACAGAGTTGAGTGTGTACCTGAGGCAGGGCTTGCATAACGGTGTCAAGCAAAGCTCTCATCCCCACCGCCATCTTCAAGAGCTTCAACACTGTGGACGGACACGGACACACAACACACACACACACACATACACACACACACACACACACACACACACACACAACACACACACATACACATACAACAGGAAATGAAAAAGTGTCTTACCAATAGTAAGATTTTTTCAGTCTTACATATCAGAACATGCACTTGTGCCGTCAAGACTTTTGTGAAGTGGAAAGGACACAACATTTTTCCTCACTTACAGTCTAATGCTACTCCATCAGTAAAGTCACAGACGTCCTTGTACTGAATAACATTAAGCTGTCAGACAGCATTGAGGTCATATCCTCCTGACTGGGGCTGCGGTTTGATGAGATCACTGGTGTGGTGACAGGGAACCAATGGAGGTAGAGATGCACACAGAGAGCTGAGGTAACACACTGAGGCAAAATTTATTTTATTTCATTATTAATCAGATTATTTATTATTATTTATTAATTTTCTTATGTTTTTTTGTTTGCTGATGTTATTATAGCTCTTTAAATGTATTTTTATTGTATCTCATTGTCAGCTTTCTGACTTGATTTGCCCTTTTCAGTCGTCTGTGAAGCGTCTTTGAACTGCACCAACCTGCATGAAAAGTAGCTATACAAATAAAGTTTGATTGATTGAATGATAAAAAAAAACAACCTTGATGCCTCCTCTGTGCCAGATGACGGACTGACACCTTGGAGACAGTAACCTTAACAAAACCGTCTGTCCACATACTGACAGGGTTTGAACATACTCTAAAAAGGGAAGTGCATATAAATTAAACAGCTGGAGCTTAACACCTTACTTTCATTGTTTTTAACATGAAATACATCAAACAAAGGAAGTGATGATACCATGTCATGGGTATGTTGTATATGTTCATCATTTAAGTCTTTCACACTGCAATAGGTCACACTACTGAAATGGTTTAAAGACAGTATCCTGANGTTTTTAACATGAAATACATCAAACAAAGGAAGTGATGATGCCATGTCATGGGTATGTTGTATATGTTTATCATTTAAGTTCTTTATTTTTATTTTATTTTAGCAAAACAGTCAAGTAGGAAAGTGACAAAGTATATTAGGCATTGTACACTGTAAAAGTTGTTAAAATTTTAATGTGAGAATTGTGAAAGGGTAAGAAAAATGATTTTTTATCCCTCCTGTTGTCTGTTTTTATATCAGAAATGTTGTTTTCTTTCACACTGCAATGGGTCACACTACTGAAATGGTTTAAAGACAGTATCCTGGCTAAACTTTGACATATTGCTGTGTGTGATAATCCATCAAGAAATGTTCCTCTGACTGTAAATATAGTCAAAACAATTAATAATGTAGTTGTTGTTTTTGTTAACTCAAAAACAAGAGTTAACTTTTCGAAAATGAGGTTTATTGACCATAAAATTCCAAAAGAAAGTGTAAAAATCGTGGTAACGAGTCGGCTGAAAAGGTGTGATGTCACAGTCAGAAACAGATCGGGTCAAATTTTGACCCGGGAGGACAAAAGTTGCATGGTCAGTGGAAAGACAATACCAAAGGTTTGACAACAGAAATATTACAAGAGGATGTGACTTGTAGAACAGAACAGAGGAAAGTTAAAATGCTGCTACACTGGAGCCAGGGGGTGAATGTAATGTAATCCATCTAAATCACATCTGCATACATTCTGGAGATGAGATACATGTTGATGCCAGCTGGAAAAGGTGCCGGCTACTGCACCCATCCAAATCACAGTGTCAGACACACACACACACACGCTTGTGTGTGTGTGTGTGTGTGTGTGTCTGGTTTGCTGTGACAGTAATCAATAATGACTTCCTTGCTACTTTTTTTTTTTTACTTCACATTCAGTAATCAGACAAAACAGATGAGCTTCCCTCCTTGCCTGTCTTATCTCCTCTTTCTCCCAGCTCTCCTCCTCCTCCCCCTCTTTTCCTCCCCTCCTCCAGTCTTTATCTTTTATTACCTGGACAGTAATCAGCCCCAAGCACATGGGCAGTTTAGTTCCTTTCCCTCCTGCTAAATCCATCTTTTCTCCTGAACTCAACCTTCCTAATTGTGAACCTCCTTCACTCATTTCCGCCATTTATTCCATCTCTCTCTCTCTCTCTCTCTCTCACCCACCTACACACCTTTCCTGTCCTCGTTTATCTCCTCCTCATTCACTTCATCACAACTTCACTTTTTTTTCACTCTAATATCAACCTCTCCTCTTTGCGACTTCTTTCCATCTTATAATCTATTTTGGCATCAGAGGTTATTCATCATTCCTGCCTCCTCCCCCCTTATTTTCTCTTCTTTTTATTTCCTTTTCTCTTCCCTCTCACCTCTCATTGATCCCATCCAATCTCAGTTTCTCGCAGCTTAGTTCACTTACTATCATAATGTGTCTTGGCTCTCCCCCATCTTTCTCTCTCTCTCTCTCTCTGTTTCTTCTCAGAACTATGTTTGTCAACTAACTGTGTTTCTTGGTGCCATCTGGTCTGTTCACACCCAGCTCAGACCCTGCTGAGACATGCCATGCAAAAATCACTAAGAGGGGAGTCCCAGATGATGTGGCTGTTTTACAAGACATCTTAAAAGTACAGCACCGCGAGTGAGGCTGGAGTGTGTGCGTGTCCGTGTGACGGTGTGTCAGGGAGGGGATGGGACGGATAGATAGATATAGATCAGTGGAGGGAGGGGGGGAGGGGGGGGGTCATACCTCGTGCGATCCTCAGCACTCTCATGATGCGGATGATGGTGGGGTTGATGGGCAGTGAAGCATTGACCTCAATCTCCTCCAGAGTGATGCCCATGATAGAGAGCAGCACGATGGCCAGATCCAGCTGATTCCACCTACACACACACACACACACACACACTCATTAGTCCCTAACACTGACTTAGATCATATCTTTTCATTGAAACCTCAGATGAATGCACTTGGCTGCAGAAACTCATCCAAAAAAATCATTGACATCATCCATTTCTCTTTAGTGACTCATCTCCTTTAGCAGAGAGGTGTGAGCTGGAGTCATGTGACGCGATTGGGGCCCGAGTTTTGAATCAAGTCACCAATGAAATGACCTCAGGCGATTTGATTTTACGTAAAGAGACACTCCACCTATTTCACACGTTAAAGTCAGTTTACTAGTCATGGTTAATACTCATCAGCATGTGAAAACTATTCATTATCTTCTGAGGCTCAAGTTTCAGAAAATTACCCCCTGATGATTTCATAATGATGCCATTGGCTTGGGCTTGGAGAAAACTAATTCGTAAATAAAATAAAGAATATGACTTTTAAATGTGTGGGTGTTCATCAGGGACAGAGGATTTAATGATTTCCCGGAGTTGGTCAATCGAAGACACTTTTGCCCTGTGTGTAAGACAGAGCCCTGACTGCGAAGCCTCGTTACCGATGACTTCTCTCTGTCTCTGCTCGGTGTGTCTTATGTTTAGTTATTCTTCTGCCCCTTTTAGTAATAATGATATATGTAATGAAAGTTATTATTTGCTAAAATGGAGGCGAGGCTCAGTGTACTGGAAGCGCTCCTCCTCTTCCCTGCAGTTCCTGAGATTCCTTGAGATTATAGGGCTGGCCCTGCTGTTGTCATACACATACTACACAAGTTTGGAGACCTGATTATTTTCTGGATGACAATGAGAGTGTGAGACTATTTCAGTGTTATGAGACAGGTTAACAAAGCAGCAATAGTATAATTTCAATTTTAGTATATCATAAAGTTATACAGTATATATATACAGTATATATATGTATGGTACGCTGAGATTAGTCAGCAGGCCACTTCCTTTCCCAGATGCTGTAATGTGATTTGAGATCAAAGTGTTGGGACCAAACCTTATTTGAATGTATAAAAACTGAAGATTGTTGTAGGTGGTCATGCAAATCAGGTTTGTCTTTTTCTTATTGTTTCAATTCCATGTGCAGCTTTCTCTCTCCGAGTCCATTCCATAGCATATCCCTCACATCCTCATTTAGATACTTAAAGTGCATGAATAAACACAAGAAATTCAATTTAAAATTCAGTGAGATTGTGAGATTAGTCACGGGGGTCTTGGCCAAATGTTGTGTTTATCTGTTTGTGTGTACCTGTGTGTGAGAGTGTATCGAGGTAATATAAAACCGGACTGCTGCCAAATGCAAAAAAAAAAAAAGGATAATGGTCTACCCTGGCAAAGACCATGGACATCATGGATTCCTCTGTGTGTGTTAGTGGTGTTAGTGTGTGTATTCATGTAAATGTGATCTGTGCTATTATACATTTGTGCTGTTGTGATTGTATTTGTGCATGATTTTGTGGTTCTCAGCAGGGAGCCAGAGATTTCAAAGCTATGAAATCATCTAAGGCAGCATGTTTTATGGGTCTTTAACAAGGCCGTTTGTATTCATACAGGCCTCACTGAGAACCATGCACTGGAGCACGTTGAAAAAAGTTCACTTAATCTCTCCGAATGCTGCCTCAGATTTTCCACATGACTCAGAGGTTAAAGAATGGTACCTTTAACCACCAATCTATTAGAATATCATGCCTGCTAAAATGTCAAAAATCTAAACTGGGAGGTAAATGTTTATTCAGGATCTCTGTTTGATCTGGGTTAGAGACATTTAGGAAAGGTCAGAGCAGTCAGTTATTTAAATACTGACTTGTCCTTGAAGAAGCGTCGGAAACCGAAGGCCACCAGCTTGAAGACGGACTCCAGAACAAAGATGAGGGTGAAGATGTAGTTACAGATTTTCAATGCCTCGTCCAACTCCTGGGGATGTCGGGGAAATCATGATTACGGTATTCATCTTAACAAGTCAGTAAAGCCTGCATTAAATATTTTGTAATTCTGCCACAGTGACCTGTGGCTTTTTCGTCATCAGGCTTTTAGTATAATGTGATGAAACTGCACTGAAATGATCTCACCATATTGTTATTTTTTCACATTTTAAAAGGAACATACTTTCAACTTGACTCAGTTATAATAAATAGCTTGGTATGGTGAATATTTTTGCTAAGTAAATATATAATTTACATTTCCTGCATTTACAGTCTTTGCACGAAATACCAAACAGTCCACGCTCTAAACTTTGTCCTCTTCTCCAGAATTAGCCTTTCCGTTAATAGATCTTCCTCTCCTCCCTCATTCTCTATGAAAAGGCCACTTGAATCAAAGTGTTCAAGCATTCTTGTCTGTGGGGGAATTCACAGTAACCATCTGCATATAAAAAACTGACCTAGCAGAGAAACGTGGAGAGAACTGGTGGCCAGTAGGGATTTTACTAAATCCTCCCTGGTGGCAATTCATGGACTAACAGCTAGTTCTAATTTGCTATATATCTCTTAATTCCACTATCTTCTGTTCTACACCACCATCCTAGATGCTAACCAAAGACCTTGTGTTGTACCTAAACAAATTCCATTCCACTCAGCAAACTTCTAATCTTCTTAAATACCTTCCATTGTAACCGACAACGTTATTGGCTTTCTCTGAAATCACACCCTCATTCACTCTTTCACTAATCTAGTCTACATAAAGAGATTCTACCCAACAACCTCCTATTCTACCCGGCAACATTCTACTCTTTTTTTTACTTCTATTCTACCCAAAGACCTTCTACTCCAATCAAAGATCTTCTATTCTACCCTAACTCTCTCAACAACCATCTGTTCCACCCAACAACAGACGGTTCTACCCAGCAACATTCACACTTTACTCAAAAAACATTCTGCTCTTCCAAAGATCTTCTACTCTACCCAGAGACCTTCTGATTTACAAAACAAAACCATCTGTTCTACTCAAAAACCTTCTACTTTACCCAAAGAACTTAGACTCCCTAAACTACCTAAACGGAGCTGTGAAGCAGTTCATACAACGCACTGAAATTGTGCATTTAAGTTTTACTGGCAACATATGAATTGCTGCTGGGATGCAACAACCTTCTGTTTTACTCAAGGACCTTCTGTCGTACTCAATAATATTGTATTTTGCCCCAGTTTCACTTCACTTTTCTGTCATATTCATGTATTCAACATCCAACTACCTCCTGCCTTGCCCCATCTACCTTCCCTTACTGCCCGCTCATCCGGTCGACAACTCCTCCTTGTATCCTCCTCAGTTTTCCTCTCTCTCTTATCCCTGCATCTCTTTGTTCTGGAAGATTCTGCAATTCTTATCTTACTTTCATTTCTTTCTCTGTTGATTGCACGTAAATGAAACACTGCAGCGCACGATACACTTTAGGAATTTCATAATCAGATAAAAAATGACTAACGTTTCGACACGTACTGCGTCGTCTTCAGTCAAACAACAATGGCATATGACTTGAAGAAACCCAGGTATTATTTGAAGCAAAGAGCCCATAATTTCCCCACCTTCCTCCCCAACATCTGACCTTGGGCTGCCGGTAGTGTTCCATGGACATAGTGATTACGTTGAGCCCTATGACGATGGTGATGAACAGGTCCAGGTAGTGGCTGGTGCACATCGTGTGGATGAGCCGACGGGTGGGGGAGTAATCGGAGAAGTAGGGCTTACTCTGGTTCCTGTCTGGAAGTTGGAAAGTGGTGGTGGTGGTGGGGGTGGGAGGGGGGCGGTGGGGTTGGAGGAGGAGGAGGAGGGGGGGGGGTGTTCAAAAAGTGAGATAGGAGGTAATATACCGGGATTTCTGAACAATATACCTGCTGTATTGACGAGCGGAGGCAGCTTTAAGAAGAGGTGGTTAGTGAAACATGACAACACTTACCTGTACACATAACTTTGTTCTAAACACTCACTATGCTTGACTCTCCAATATATAAAGAGAGATGTGAAGAGATTGCAAAAGGGGAAGGCTGATCAGATAATGGACAGAGGGAAAGAAAGACTCCAGCCAAGACCTCCTGTGGTCTGCAGTCATGACTAATCAGATCAAATCTCCTCTCCTCTGATCAACAATTATTTAAATCAACTCGTTGTGTGTGTGTGTGTGTGTGTGTGTGTGTGTGTGTGTGTGTGTGTGTGTGTGTGTGTGTGTGCTGAAAGACTCTATGGAGAATCCTGCTGTCAGAGTATTTTGGTTTAGAGATTTGAGCATCCCGGTCTCTCAGTCTCCCTGATTTGTCATGTGATTCAGCCTTCCCTTATCTCTTTCACCTCCCTTGTCTCAGGAAAAGAATATAACACAAGAGAAAAGTTTTCCACACTCATCCATCACTTTGTTCCTAACCTCTCTCTTCCACCCAGAGGATGGATGTGTGGGCTGGGAGTTAGGATGAGGAGCAGAGAGGAAGCTTTGCTCTTTCTATCACCTTACCAATTCATCAGTGAAGGAGAGGCTCTAGGTCACACGGAAAAGGCTACGACACAAACACACACACACATACACACACATACACACACACACCCAAAAGGCAAAAGTCCTTTGGGTGTTGTGAACACCTCTGAACAACTCTCTGCCCAATTAGCCCAGGTGTACTCCTGCGGCTGCAGCGATGTAGGGCCGGGATGATTCCTAAGAGTATGTATATGTCTGCACAGCTCATGGTGTGCACCTCGTGGTTTCCCTACCTCTATGTATCTGCATCTTTTGGGAGTGAAATGCATCTCTTGAGATAAAAGTCTACTCTGTGCATTGCTTTGCTACGAAATACGGAGCAGAAGATATTCTGAAGGGATCCTGCGGTCTGTTCACTTTCAGCAGCTGTGCAGCATTTCATGTTGATATCGCTTGTTTGCAGTTTCAACACTACTACTCAGACATTGCTTAAATAAAATCTGAAACTCAAAAGTCCAGTCTCAATTAATAGCAGGCACAAACAAGTAAAAGCCAGATAAAAACACACTGAGGTGGTTGAAATGACCTGCACTGTAACAGCTCACAAACTCAGCTTCATGTACATTTTTCTCGGTGAGGCATTATGTTTTCGGGTCGCCCGTCTGTCTGTGCGTCCATTCTCGTGAACGGGAATATCTCAGGAATGCTTTGAGGGAATTTCTTCAGATTTCGTACAAACGTTCACTTGGAGTCAAAGACAAACCAAATACATTTTGGTCCTGCCTACAGCACCGCAGGTTGGAGAGTTGTTGAGGTTTGGCAGAGGTCTGTACTTTGTGCTCAGGGTTGTCTTTGATAATTTTGTGCCTGCTGGTAATTATTGATACTGACAACAGGGGAGATGAACCTGAATGCTGGCGGTGCCAGTTGAACCACAGTACAGCCAGTGTTGGAGTCGGACTCCTCTTGAGCTCCTGCAGAGATGTGCGTGCCAGGAAGTGAAAATAATGTGGCTTCTCGTGTGCTCGGTCTGGCCTGTACTAAAACAGGTTGACATCCTGTTTTCCTTCTTAGCAGCTCCAGTCCTGGTATCGTCTGTGCACCAACACTCCCTCCTCTTATCAGCAGCGTTATCATACAGTATATATCACCACATGGCTCACTGAGTAGACAGTGATAAAGCAGATTTAGAGTATCTTGGGCATATGTCTTTGAATGCCCTCGGGGAGTTAGGTATAGCCCTTGTGGGGTGCAACAACTTGGTTCATTCACTGGGAGTTCCTATTTACGTGATCATCCATCATCTTAAGACGAGCAAACATTATTTTTTCTTTACAGTTTTACTTACTGTCCGCAGGTGCACGGCGAGCTGAGGCCGACAGATACACTCACACATTACAGCAGTCCCTTTGTTTCACCTCCTCTTCTATACTCCCTCCTCCATTTAAGTTTTATGCAACTTTTTCTTTCCCTAGCATGGGGTATCTGCTGTCCAATTTACATTCCAAAATACATACATTCAAATTCAATGCCAAGAAAATTCAATTAATATTGGATAGCTGAAGTGAGTAAGCTGGATTGTTTCACTTTCTCCCTAAAAAAGTTAATTTGAGGAGTAATTAAGCATTTGCCCTCAATATTATGTTTGCAGCAGGGAGGGTAAGACCTAAAAAGAAGGGAAAATGGAAGGAAAAAGAAAGACAGAAACCTTTCAGCTAAAACTCAACTAGTTTCCAAAGGAGCAGGAAGGGAACGAGTGAAGTGACAGAAGAAAGGGTGAAAGTTTAGGAAGTCAAATTACAGACTGCCCCAACTGTGTTGCTCTCACTTCCACTTTTCTTTTCTCCTCCACATAGAAAAATGGAGAGCTGCTGTTAATGTGGAACGGAGTTCCCGTCCTTCACTGATGTGGCAGGTGTAGCCTCCTCTGTCAGCTCTGACGTCATTTTGAACACGAAACAAAAATGGGTGCAAAGGCACCGAGGGATCGCGACCTGTAAACCTCTCCGTACAGGTCACAACGCCTTCTCTCTGCCATCTCCATCCTTACGTTTCACACAAATTCTTTGTACATTAAAGCAGGCCGTTCAGGACAATCATCTCATGGGGACTTAGATCTCATGTTTGTTTCATAAGTGAATTTCTAAAGCTTAGTTTTGTTTCAAATCGAATAAATTTAGGCGACCCAACGAAAACGAGCCGGGCCGTCTATGTTGGGTTTTTCACTCTTTAAATTGTGTTTCTGAAGCTTCACAATCACTTATGAATGTATATAAATGCCTATATTTATTTGGAAGTTGACTTAAAATTTAAATTCAGTAATGTATTTAATTTGTTGGCATATACAGCAAAACTGTTCCTGGTGACATAGTGATTTATTCGTGGCTCATAAACACTATTACTTGTTAACCAGGAGTCATTCCCGAGCTGCACTGCAAGGCTGGAAACTACTTCTCTACATACACTATCAAAGTTTGGGCAAGTGCCGTAAGGTACAGCCGCAAAACATCTGTTATTACACCTATTTGGTATCTATTTAGATGTGTATATTTGTGCTTGTACAATATTAAAAATGTGATCAAAACATCCAGTGGACATTCAGCTTTAGGATTCCTGAACAACTTGAGATCTAAACCCCCTGATGAAAATCTGCCTGAAGTCCAACAGACAAAAAGAAAGAAAGAGATAAAAAAAAATAAAAATAAAAATAATTCCCTGTCCAGAAACAACCCCAAGACATTATTCCTCCTTTCGCCTTTCAGTGCACTCGCCTTCCCCCTTCATGAACACTTGCCCTTACCTCACCTTTGTGCGTGACGGCTTTAAGGCGCTGGAGGATTCGGGCCTGGGAGTTGCTTTTGGACGCGGCCACACTCAAAAACATAATCCATACATTTCCGAGGCGGTCTTTGTTGGGAAATACAGACACACTAAGGGTCCTTGGCTTGTGGGACCGATGAGTAGGAACACCACAGCGCAGCACTATGGTTATACTTTGACTGTGCGGGTGAGTGCAGGTTGGGTTGGATTAGATATGCGGAGTATGGGTCGGGAACACAGTGGACCTACAGCTGTGCAGAATGCGGTAATCAAGTGAGGGGTGTCTAGAGCAGGTTGTGAGGTGGAAAGGATGTTGTGCCGGCTACTCCGATGAAGAGATGGCCTGACCATGAATCTCAAAACAACATGAGACGCTGCTGTGGCTTTAATTCATTCATTTAATTCAACAGCTGCTGTTTTTACTGGAGCTAATATGAATATGTCTGGAGGCTTTTTGGGTGTGGTATTTCCATCAGAGATTTACAGATGATTGGAATATTGGCATATGGAGTGTGGGTTGATGTGGGTGACAGTAATGGACAAAATAAAAAAGAAGACTTTTTGGAGAAGTTTGGATCCTGGATGACAACAAGAATGGCTGTGAAAGGAAGAGCAGGGCGCAGGGCCGTAAAAGCAGCAACAGTGCACTTTAAACGGTAAAACCGCGTGTGGAAATGAGTCAAATGTCAGTGAGGAAACATTTATATTTTCAGATTTCTGAAGCAGCAGTTTGGTTGGATGCGGTGGCTGCTTTTACGCCCCTGTCCTTCATGGTGAATGGCTCGGTAGTAAACCTTGAGACTCAGTGTCTGCCAGGAAAAAATGTGTCAACCTTCAATGTCAAGGACTGGATGTCCTATTTTGAAATCCAGCAAACACAGAGTCTTAAAAAAAACAACAAAAAAAACAAAAAAAACAACTGTCAACACAAACAGTTACTATAAAACAATCAAGAAAAGATTTCAGTGGAATTCCCGAATGCTCTGCTGCATTGCTTGAATATCAAAGCGAGAGAGAGAGAGACACAAATAAAAGAATAAAAAACACAGAAATGCTAAAAAAAAGAGAAATGAATTATAACAGAGAGGAGCAGCAGAGCAACTTGAGGAGTCCAGAAGAAAAATAAAAAGGCAAAGAAAAAGAAAACATGACATCATTCAAAATGACAGGGCATGATAACACACACTCATCTTCACTCTTTGAAACACACACAAACACACACACTGTGCTGGTTCACATGGTAGACTGACACACCTCTTTCTGAGTCATACTTGAGCAGGATGGACCAATTGAAATGGGGGACTGAATGGTGAAGGCAAGCGATTGGACGGCATGAGTGGAGGGCGGAGTCACAGGGATAACAGTGATGACGAGTTACAGACCGATGGGACGCTTTTTCAACAGCGGGATGACACAGCGTTTTAACCTTTCTCTCTTTTGTTAAAACCATTCACCATACTGTCATGAACACATC